TGCTGATAGGCGTGAACCAATGAATTTTTATGGAAAGGTTTCAGCGTCTGCTTGAAGTCAGTACATTGTTCAGTGTAACAGACCCTCTTTTCCCTCAGGGAAACTTATACAAATAACTACTATTATCTATTGTGAATAAACTCTAGTTTATCTGTAATTCATGAAATGATATTTTGTGTTCATATACAACGTTTCTCATTTTATATCATAACTAGGAAAAGACACACTCAACACAAACATCTGAAATACCAAGATTTGTGTGATTTTATTGACACACATGGCAGTGAAACCAGTGTTTCAGCACCTTCTCGTAATGCTACACATATCAATAATCCACAGGGTACAATGTATATGTGATCATGTAATGGAGTCAAGGCTGAACAAATACTCCAAACTACTTTGACTTATATCTGACTTGACTGATTCTACTGTAGCTCAACTTTGTTCCTGCAATGTGGCCGTTCCTTAACAATCACAAACAAGATCACTGAATAGTTAATCTGATACCAAAATAATTCACACAATGACCAATCAGCACCTGGGCTACAAGATTTTCAATCAATTTTCTTCACATTAGGGGAATAAACCGCAAAGATCTACAGTGATTTTTCAATTCAAGCTATGAAATCCTTCATGTACACATGTAATGCAGTAAAATTTCCCTCATTGGTACAAGTACATTGCATGTTCAAAGCATTGTTACAATGTTCACCATTCTCCTCAATCCTATCGTTTCATATGGTTTTTCCATGTGTTTAATGGAGACCAAGTAGAATACAGGGTTCTCACCAGATTTTTTCATAGCGTAGGGGACACGTACAGAAGGGCAACTTTCTGTGGTACAAGCCACACATTGAGTCCACAAAACATGCATGCAGTAGGAGAGTAGTGTTCTCCGAGAAAACTCATGAACCTGACAGTGAGGCACTTTCCAATCAGAGAAGTTTGCACAAATAGCTACCATCAATTATAGATGGAATAAACACTAGTTCATCTTAATTCAGAATGATATATAATTTTGTAGTTATGTTATCTATCTTGGTGGAACGTTTAGGGGTACAAAGTCACATGGCACATGTTTCCCCTTCTATAATTGAATATATAACAATAACTGTAACAAGGCACGCTCAACACATGTACGTATGAAGAATTTCTTAATCTGCTCATATTCATACAAAAACTGACAATGAAAATGCTGGCTTAAGGTTACAAGTATCAGTAGTTCTTGGGAAATAATATGTGATCACATACAGTAGTCATAAGACAATAATCCACACCTGTGACAGTACTAAAAGTTGCATTTGTTTCCACAAATTTTCATTGCCATTGTTTTCTCAAAGCTCAGTTCCTACATGTAGCTAGCCAGGACTTTGAGGTGGCACAGTGTGGTCTGCTTTCTGGTATCCACAGGTCAGCTGCATGTTGACTTCTTGCACCTGTAACAGGAAGAGGGAAAAATGTCAAATCATGCACCAGCTTCAAGCTTCTTGTGCTTAGAGTTAAACATAAACCTGGAATCAAAATCAACCTGAACAAACATAATTACATCATGAGTTTCAGTTTCTAAAATCAAAACAGAGTAATAATAATATCATGCACATGTAATTCTGTCATGCAAGGAGATGATATATAGTGAGATAAAAAAACCTAGTACATGTAACTAATAGATCACTTGATGATCCATGAATTATGTTTACATCAATCAGCACATTGGAATAAGCAAATTGAAGGACAGTTACAAGAAGGCACATGAACTGGTACCTCAAACAATGTTTTCATGACTGATGACAGTCTGTCATCATCTTCCTTATGGCAATCAAGGGGGTTAAAATACTGACTGGATCTACTTTGCACTACAAGCTAGCTATAGGTGTGACGGTTGTGGAGTTATTAATGTGGCTCAAAACATAGAATATAGATGATGGCATTGTACAACATTATTATTATGTTACATTATATTAATTCTCCATGTTGCAGCATTCTTT